CATGTTGATATTAAGGTCATCATCATGCTCGATCATTTGCCCCAGTTTTACCCATTATCCATTTGCAAACAAAAAAGTTGTCTTAGTTAATAGGATGAAGGATTTAGGCGATTCAAAATGGACCGCTTTAGTCTGTGTTTATTGTTTATTTACCAGCTCTTCCCTAATCCTGGAGGGAATTGACACAAGATTTAAATTTGCTTGTTTTCTTGATTTTTGTCACGTGGCACATGCAGAGCTATGATTAATTCTGAGTATTCCTTTATTTGTTTATTCTTTTCCCCAGAATTCCAATCCATGGTCCTATCCTGAGTTTTCAGATGAAAAAAGTTCAAGCATTCAGGTCCTTTGGTCACTTTCCCACATCTGGAGTCTTCTGATCCACTTCCAGGGATTAAATATGTTTTCTATTAATGTCTGTGTGCACAAATTGCTTTAAAAAAAAGGCCTTTTTTTATTTTAAAGGCATCACAACTTAATGTGTCTTTTCATTATATTGGTATGTGGTTTCTCGTCTGTAGCATTCCCCCCCTGACAATGAATGTGGTAAATAAACATGTGGAAACACACACACTTGTGAACTGACTGTGTATATATTAAACGAACTCATATTATGGTGTTTAGTATGCTTTGATGATAAAGTTATACATAAAGCAGTGCTTAACACTGGTGCATCATATCAAGACGTTTGTGGGTCTAAATTTCCCTGTCAAATGTCAGCCTTTGTTACAGAAAAGGCCTCTCCATGTGTTGCTCAAAGTCCAGAAGACATGCCTCTTAGATTATTTGGCTGTAGGTGTAGAAAAAAGGAAGATAAAGAAGCTTAAATTTATAGAATAAAATGGATATATGTAAATATTTGGACACAACTTGTAGTGTAAAGCACATTGTTGTCGGTAAGACCCAAAACACAACATATAAATGCCAGTCTAAATCAAAAACAAATACACACAAGATTACAGCTTTACTGGAGGTCAAAGGAGCTTGCAAAGAAAAGCATCTGGACTTCTTTAAGTTGCTTGAAGACGTTTCACCTCTCATCCGAGAAGCTTCTTCAGTTCATGAGAGGTGAAACGTCTAGCAATCAAAATAAGTCCAGATGCTTTTCTTTGCAAGCTCCTTTGACTACGATGACCTGTATGACTGAGAACCTTCACAGACAGCTTTACTGGAGAATCAAAAGAAAAACAGTCTGGGTGCAGGCATGTTTTGGTGGCACTAATTCCTAAGTATCAACTGTACTATTCATCATTTATAACCTGAAATGTCCGTAATTAAGAAATGTATGTTTTAAAGATTTAATTTTCTATAAAGATAAGATATAAAGGGTGCAAATTAAGAGAAAAAAACATTTTAAAACGAAAAAGACAAACTTTGTATCTTGCTATTATGTATTTAAAAATTCTAATTCTGTAATATTATTGCACAGCAGTATGCTTACTCAGCAAAACGTGTTGTGGTCAGTTAAACTGGAGCACCCCACAGATCATTTGAACCCCCCATTTGGAGAGTAGGAAACTTTGTTTGAAAGCGGTTTGACCCGAGCGACTGAGCTTGTGGCACCTCGTAACTAAAAGCAGGAAGTTAAGGATGTGAAGTAGAATGCAAGCGGCTTCGCTTCCCATTAACACCATTTACGCATTTGTTCTTTTAATTTTCACTGTCTGTATCAGCGAGTACATGGACGTGTTGTGTTTATCTTCTGTAAGGTGAGTGTTACTGTCACGGTTCACTGACGGTTCCTCCGACAGCCAACACAAGCCTACAGCTAGCAGAGCCAAGCTAACAAGCTAGCTGCTCTGAGTGACTCCGGCTGGTCGCTGACTGGATGTTTGTCAGTAGTAGTACACAATCACATAAATTTCCTTATGTGTTTGTTTTGTAGTTTATTATAACACATATTGTATAAAAATATCCAAGTATTTCTCTCTGCCGGCTAAAGTACAGTAGTAGCATTTCATTTGCAGTACCGTATGTGTACGAGACAATAATGACAAAATGTAAAACGAGTAGAAAACAAACACACCCCTTAAATGTAGAGGTGTAAGCGTCTGAACTATATCACTTTTATCTCCAGTAAATGAAGTGAACTGCTAAAATTTTACCTTGCGTGACCTAGTGCCTCTAACTTTAACCAAAATGGTCAAAAACTGGTACACCGTTTTATTATTGTACACAGCAACATGGCTGCTAACTTTTAAATGCAAATATCTAATAAGCAAATCACATGGCAGCAGTTCAGTGCATTTAGACACGTAGACATGATCAAGACGACCTGCTGAAGTTCAAACTGAAAATTAGAATGGAAAGGAAAGATGATTTTAAGTGGCTTTGAACGCAGCATCGTTGTTGATGCCAGACAAGCTGGTCTGAGCATTTCAGAAACTGCTGATCCACCATCTCTAGGGTTTCCAGGGAAAGCGAAAATATCCAGTGAGCATCCAATTTTGGAATTAAAATGACTTGTTGATGGCAGAGGGGAATGTTTCTAGGTGATAGAAAGGCAAACTTATACAAATAACCACTAGTTTACAACCAAGGTATGCAGAAGAGCATTTTTGAAGGCATGACACGCCAAAGCTTGAATTGGGGGCTACAGCAGCAGAAGACCACACCGGGTACCACTACTGTCAACTAAGAACAGGAAATTGAAGCTGCAGTTCACACATGCTCGCCTAAATTTTGATTTCTCCTGCATCATTCAGAGGGTAGGCTTAGATTTTGGTGTAAACAACATGCTTTGTATCAACAGTTCAGGTTGCTATTGATGGTGTAATGGTGGGTGGAATATTGTCTTGGCACTCTCTTTGCCCCTCGACCATTGCTTAAACACTACAGTCTACTGTAGCATTCTTGCTGACCATGTTCATTACTTTATGACAACAGTGTAGCCATCTTCTGATGGCTTCTTCCAGCAGGGTAACAGAAAATACTCTGTGGAGGCCATTTAAGTACAGTAAGCGCAATCTTTAGATCTCAGTGAAATAGAGAACTAATGGAGTGAGAGATTCCCACCATGTATGTGTAGCCAACAAGTCTGCAGCAACTGTGTGATGCTATCATGTCAGTATTGGCCAGAATTTCTTAGGAATGTTTCCAGCGCCTTTTAAAATGTGTACCTTACCAGTAGTGTATTATTACCAATGGATTTGTGTCACTATATAACTGGATGTTGTTGTCTTTGTTTTGTAGGAACACGGCATGCTAACCAAACGGCCACTGGAGCAAAGGAAAGGCAGACACAAGTTACACTAATGCTGATGATCAGGTAAGTTTAGGTGACTTAATATTTTGGTCTTCCCTTTTTCCATGCAGTATTTTGGCCCCTATACAATGTTTTGGTCTCTGTGCAATATTTTGGTCTCTGTGCAATATTTTGGTCTCTGTGAAATTACCATTCCCATCCCAAATGATCATAGCCCCTCCACCCTTATTTATTTATTATATTATATTACTGCCCTTGTATACACCCCCACACTGGTTCTGTTTCAGTGTTTCTACATACACCGTGTATAGTCAGGGGTGCACATACGTGATCCGCAGGTGCGCATTCGTTGTCAAAATAAAAGACGCGCACCAGATAAGAAGTTGCAATGCGCATTTGCGTACATATAACAGCCACTGTTTTTGTCCGCTAGAGTGGGATTTTCACAGCATATTCTGCACTACATCTGTGTGCGTTCATCATTTGTTTGAAGCCAGCTCACCTCCTGCAACCACTTTTCCGAGTATACGCACTTCTTTTGCGGTTCGGACTCTTTCTGGCATTTCTTTGGAGGTGGAGGAACACCAAAGGAGCTTGCTTCTTCGACATCTTTAAGAGTTCTAGTCAAATGTCTGTCCTCCTCCAGAAAATCTTATGTACGCAAACTGGCGTTGCAACTTCTTATCTGGCGCACGTCTTTTATTCTGTTAGCGAATGTGCACCTGCAGACCACTTATGTGCACCCCCATATTTAGTTTAAACACACACACACACACACACACACACACACACACACACACACACACACACACACACACACAC